AGAGAGAGAGAAAAGAGAGAGAGAGAGAGAGAGAATATCATAAAAATTCATAATAATATTTTATCTAATATAATCTTAATTTATCACAATGTTACATAAAGTTATAAATTTTATTTCTAAAATTATTTTTAAAAACAAACTATGCACACATATTGTATATTGTTACTGTAATGCATTTGTTATTGTGATCACATATCTTGTATTATTATATAAATTGTAAATTATTATGCTTTTTTCTGCAAATTTACCGTAAGATTATAATTCCATAAAGTATACTTATTCTAAGCGCACTTCGATATCTGATAATTGGCTTGGTACTCAACGCGCGAACCAATTAGCTGCAGAAGCTTGCGAAAGGCGGTAACGGTTGTTAATGTTCATTTATAGAACACATAGTAAAAAATTTATAATTGCATATAATAAAATCACGTAAGTATAAGTAATTAAAAAAAAATCTGAAACCACAGTTGAACTTACAATCAAACTTTCAATATTTTTATATCCACATTTGTCTCTGTAACATCATAATAAGCAAAGAAGAAGTACGAAACAATCGAAATTTATGTGATATCGAATTAATATAAAATTTAATTATTTTTTATCTCTTTAATCTTTGTAATATAATGGTATATTATTATACCACAGTAATATTTTAACAATAGTAATTGCGCATAATTAAAACTTAAATTAAAATGATTAAAACATGTGTCATCAATCTCCGCATGATTTACTGTTCACCCGAGCGCGTTGAAAAAAAAAATCAAGAATGACGTATGAATTGTGTTCTGAGGATGAGAATTTCAAAGCGCTCTAAATACCTAGTTACCGCTGCGTGACGATTGTGCGAGATATTTTCCACGGTATTGCTATTAGAGAGCTTATATGGCTTATATCTGTGAATGCAATGATAAAAATAATATAAAAATTCTTTCATCGAAATTATATCCCGCTTTGCGTTTTGATCATTTGTTTACAATTTTATAAATGATGTATTACACATCTATCTTATAATAAAAGACATGCAATTAAAGCGGATATTATTTTACCGCATTTTCAGCAACCGCCCGAGTCTGATTTCAGATGATTATAATAATACTACAAAAACCACGCCTAAAACTTTCCCATCAATCACGGCTATCTATGTGTGTAATATTTCCTCTTCCTCGAAAGAAAATTATATATTACGTTAAATCGTTATTTTGAACTTTCTCAATGAGCTTAAAAGATCGGCGTCACACTTTAACGCGTATAGCGCGAAAGTTGCGCGGCTCAAGCTAAATCGGGTTAATTAAAAGCAGAAAAAAAGATACGCTGGGCATTTCATGGGATTTTTTTACGGCGCGAGATGAACGGAAAGTGCGTCACGCTATATCATTATCGGAAAATTACGCAAATAAGTTATCTGATTTATACAATCGCATTCTTCAAGGTTGACACTTCCTTGAATGTACAAGAATGTATAAATATTTGCATAACGTTGCAATTACACAATTATTTTCAATTACACAATATATAGCAAAAAATAATATATTTGTTAAATATATATTGCAGAAAATTATATGAACTCATTACATTTAATTAAATAGAATGCCTTGACAGCTCTTTCCAAACAGCCCGTATAAAGAAGATAACATTTTTATTATTATATTATTATTGTTAGAAAATATTCGAAGTTGTGCTTTTCATAGCTGTCAATCCAATATAATATTAAAAACCAACTTAACATCACAATATATTGTTGTCTACATAAATGTATCATATTTCTACGATATCTACAGCTTTTTTATCAACATAAACATAACAATTTATATCACTAAAATACTAAAAATATAATAAAAATAGATTTTTACGATGTTTTCGATGTAAGGCAAGAATATAGCGTCTCCATAAAATAATTTACACGCCGTGAATGCTTTAAGAATCAACAGGTACTTGGAGAAGCAAGATAGGTATAACGGTATACAGATTATCGCACGGTATCAAACCGCAGTCTACAATAGCGTTCACCAGTTGAATACAATAACAATAAATAGTTTTGATTTTGGAAAAATAAAATAACAGAAAAAAAAAAGAGAAAGGCGAGATCGAACCTTGGCAATCTGGAAGAGGGCCTGCCTCCGCGGTCTCTGATCCTGTTTCATAGCTGCTCGTCGGCTTGCTCCGATTCGCAAGTACGATCCGTCACCGTTTAGTTCGTCATGGAAAACCGTAGCAAAACACTCGGAAATGTTCGGCAATCGTGTAGATCATAAATTGCACTGTACATTACACACTTGGAGACCCAAACAATTGAGAAAACGTAGGACGCGTTGCAGTCGCACAAGGTACTCTCTTAAGCGGACGTCGTTGCAACAATGCCCGGACGGACCCGGGCGGGTTCAAGAACGATGGAAGCGCCACACAGGACTCTTACGGGCAGGTATAGAAGTGAGCGGGGACCGGTGAACGCGGTCGTGGGTCCATTCGTGTACCTGCTATAGTACGATGTATAATACGATGTATAGTACGCTGTAGTATAATGCTCGAGGCCTTACAGGGACGCATCTGTTTCGAAACCGCGCATCGTGGGTCTGTTTGCATGAATTTATTTATAAATTACTTCTCGTATTTTTATTTTGTTGACAGAGTTAATAAATATAATGCATAAGTTTTTATTAATTTATAAAAATGTATATCTGAATTTTTTGCCCATTTTGAAAGATTAAAAGAAAGATTAAAAGAAAGCAATTAACTTTCATCTTATACGTTTTTAAAATATTTATAACCATGTAAATTGTAAAAAAGAATGATGCATTGTTCATCAGTTGAATCTAATATATCATGTTCTTCTAATAAATATGAATATTATTGCATTACGTGAACGATAAAACAGCAATAAAAGTCAAGTAGAAATTAATAATAAATTGAAATGCTGCAGGGAGATGCGGAAGATGTTATCGTAAAGATGTTATCATAAAAAAAGAATTGTCTAAAAATAAAATCTTGAAGATCCGATCCTAGTACGTTTACTACAGTCTGGATTAAGCACCGAACATTTTTACTATGGCGTGGGTGAGAGGCCCGGGGTCAGTCGGCCTGCGGAGTGAGGGAAATGAGCGGCATCGGAGTGGGGGCGACCAGGTTTTCGGTGGAGCGGAAAGGGGAAATAAGCGAACACACAGAACACCACGGAAGAGGATCAGTATGAGGAAAAGGGAGAAAGAAAAAGAAGAGAGTGGGGGCGGACGGAACGAATGAGACGGATAGGAGAGGGAATCATGGGACTGACAACGTTTTACGTTACGCTACGCTGCTACGAGAGATCGTTACGCAATTTGATTCGGGAAAGAATAAACGGGTAATTTAGAAACTCGTTCTCTCTCTCTCTCTCTCTTTCCCCTCTCAGAATTAATAGACTCTGAACTGTGTGACCGGCGACCTAAATAATAATTTGGAGGCAGAATTCTAGTATGCCTCCAAAAGTTTTTGTTTGTTTCAATTTAATTAATCAGATATAACAAATTTAATATTTTATATATATATATAACACTTCATACTTCTATTCAGGACTTTCATTTCATTTACACGAAGGGAAAGAGAGTACACTCCTCTGCCGTAAGATTATTATACGGTCTGCCGTAAACCAAGTGAGGATTTCAAGTATATTAGCACTGCAATTATCAAGATGACGACAATATTGTTGTAAAATACTGCCTTTTAGCCGCAACGCTGCG